GCTGATGAGATCTCTGTCTGTGGCTCACAGTTCTGTCATAGACACACAGAGGCTCATAAATCAAACACATTCTGAATGACAGCTGATACAAAGCCAGTTTAAAAACAGCGGCAGTTCTGGCACAGAGAACCACCGGGAAGATACAGCAGCAAATAATTGCAATTGCTATATTTTGTAGTGATTTACAAGTTTGTTTTTCTATTTTTGGTTCTCTATATACGTTGATGTTGTAGAGCTGATGTTATGCTAAGTTGACATGGAAATGCATTCTATCAAATGGATCCTTCTCAGTTATACAATGCATTCATAAGGAAACTCAAAGTGCTTAGCAAAACAATCATAAATCATCGCCATCACTGCCATTCCATTGTTTGTGGTTATTTTTTGTAAACGCTCTACTCTGCCCCTGATTGGGAGCATTTACACCAGCCCTGTTTAACCATACCAGATCCTTCTTTTAGTTTCTCTTGGTCCTGATTCTATCCAGGCCGAGCTGGTACTAAACCGTTCTAACTGACAGTGATTGGCCAGTAAAGTAGTGGAGACATTAGAGGGGAGAGGAGAGCAGAAGGGTGAGGATAGGAGAGAGAGAGAGGAGAGGGGTGAGGATAGGAGAGAGAGGAGAGAGAAGATAAGGGAGAGAGGATAAGGGAGAGGAGAGCAGAGGGGTGAGGATAGGAGAGAGAGGAGATAAGGGAGAAGGGAAAGAATAAGCGAGAGGGGAGAGGAGAGAGTAGAGCAGAGCTACAGGGCAGTAATGAATTTGGGGAGGGTCCTGGACTCGGCTCTGTTTAAAGCACTCGTCCTTCAGAGGAATCACTATGAAAGTTTGATGAGCGGAGGCTGCAGGTGTGTAATGAGCCTGAGGAGACGGACAGGACTGAGGAGAGAGGAGAGGTGACAAGAGAGGAGAGGGGAGAAGAGAGGAGAGGTGACAAGAGAGGAGAGAGATGAGGTATATACTGTATAGGGGAGAGGGGGGAAAAGGAAGTGGAGGAGAGAGGAGAGGAGAGAGATTAGGAAAGAGGAGAGGAGAGAGATGAGGAAAGAGAAGAGGAGAGAGTATAGGGGAGAGGGGAGGATGGAGCTCTCTCTGGTGTCCCTTCAAACTCCAGGAAACTCCTAAAGGGAACATTAGTGTGGGTTCAACTCCTGGGAGCAGAGAGGATTACATAATGAGGAGGTAGTTTTGATTTTTAGTCTTTTGTCTCATAGGAGTCCACATTATCTTGGTTAACCCTTTCGAAACCACGAAGATGAGAGAGGGGAGAGGAAAAAGAGGAGAGGATAGAGGATAGAGGAGAGAGGAGAGGAGAGATGAGAGGAAAGAGGTAAGAAAAGAGTATAGGGGAGAGGGGAGCAAAAGGAAGTGGAGGATAGAGAAGAGGAAAGAGGAGAGGAGAGACATAGATAGAGGAGAGGAGAGAGATGAGAATAAGGAGAGGAGAGGAAAGGGCTCTCTCTGGTGTCCCTTCAAACTCCAGGAAACTTCTAAAGGGAACATTTGTGTGGGTTTAACTCCTGGGAGCAGGGAGGATTACAAAATGAGGAGGACGAGTTTTGATGTTTAGTCTTTTGTCTCAAAGGAGTCCACAATATCTTGGTTAAACTTTTCGGAGCCACCAAAAATTGTACATGTTTGTGTGCTATTATAAGTGTGTGTGTCAATTTTCAATTCAACTGCAGTTGTGAGAGGAGATTAGAGGACAAAGAAAAGAGGAGATAGGAGAGGAGAGAGGAAAGAGAAGAGATGGTAGGAGAGAGGAGCTGAAGGGGGAGAGGAGAGCTGTAGAGGGGAGAGGAAAGCAGAAGAGAGAATGGAGAGGAGAGAGTAAGAGAGGAGAGGAAACATGAGTGGAAGAGGAGACAGTAGGAGAGATGAGGAAAAAGGAGGAGAGAGGAGAAGCTCTAGCTCATTATTAAATGAATGTATTAATTTACATTATTAAAACCGCCGTTATTCTCTCAACACATTTCTACAGTGAGCTTGCCCATTCAATCTCTTCCCTTAAAATACATTTAATTTATAAGGTGCCTGGACAACAAAAACTGTTACAGGGGTCACAGTGAATAGGCGTCTGTATAGATGTGTTTTGAGTGCGTTTTTGGCAACGTGTGCAGTAAGTTTGTTATAGAATAGGATTTCTTCCTTTGGTTCTTTGCAGGTGTGCTGATATGTAGATGAAAAAGTTTGCTGAGAGAAGTTTGTGGATTGTTTTGAAAGTGAGAAGCAGCATTTTGTACTGACTGCGGTGGGAGATGGGAAGCCAGTGGAGTGGTTTCAGGACAGGGGTGATGTGGTTCATGGAGGTAGTGTGTGATGACGGGAGCTGAGCAATTTTTTTTAACAAGACAACAAGACAACTCAAACCCCCAGGATCACAAAGAGCACTAAACCATGGATTTTTAAAGCCCATAACGCTTCCTAAACTAGAGGATTTTACTTTTCCATGTCAATAGGAGCCAGAGCAAACTGTGTTAAAGTTGTGCTAAGTTTCCCATAAGTCTTCTGGGCCACCGTACTTTCCGCAGAACGACGTGCATATTTATTCGGAGAGCAAAACTTTGAAAGGCCTCTCCAGCTCATGCCGTATTGATTCAGACAGGCCGGAGACGCTCCACTGTTTTTCCACACAAACATCACTCGGACTAAAAATAACTGGAGTTGCATCTTCAGGACCTTCTGCAAAAAAGCAGCCATGAAAAAAAAATACAAAGTCTGATTTCAGTTACGACAAGAAAAGAAAAGACGAGACGGGAGTTAAAAATAGAATGGATTCTCATTATCACCAGAAGCAGAAACAGAAAAATGGTCTTTACTTCATTTGATTTAATTTGTGGTTTGGGCTTACAGCAAGCTCAGAAAATTAGTTAAAATTAGTTTTAACAGTAGTCTTGTCTAGTTATCTATCCACAGGCCAGAGGGAGACCAGGGAGGGATCAAAGAGAGAGAGAGAGAGAAAGAGACCAGGGAGAGGCCAGAGAGAGACCAGAGAAAGAACAAAGAAAGACTAGAGACCAGAGAGAGAGACCAGGGAAAGACCAGGGAGAAACCAAAGCTCGACGGAGACCAGAGAGAGAACAAAGAGAGACTAGAGAGAGACCGGAGAGAGACCAGAGAGAGAGAGCAGAGAGAGAACACAAAGAGACCAGGAAGAGACCAAAGAGAGACCAGGGAGAGACCAGAAAGAGACACGAGAAAGAACAAAGATAGACAAGAGAGAGGGACCAGAGAGAGACAAGAGAGAGACCATAAAAAGACCAGGGAGAGACCAGAGGGAGAGAGACACAAGAAAGGGACCAGATAGAAACAAGAGAGAGAGATCAAAGAGAGACCAGAGAGACAGAGACTATAGAGAGACCAGGGAGAGACCAGAGAGAGACCAGACAGAGACTAGTGAGAGACACAGACGTTGAAAGTCAATGTTATACTATGAAACAGTTGATGACTGGTTATTGGCTTCATGTCTCAGGCTTTACACCCATTTCGAGAGACTTCAGCCTCCTCTCTATTCTCCTCTCTGTTCCTCTCTCTTTTACTCCCTCTCCTCTGCCCTTTTTTCTTCTTTCTCCTCTCATTGATTTTAGAACAATGGTGTGACACGATAAAGAGCTAAAAAAAGGATGATTTTGCATGATGTGTGTCCTGACATTTCCCCAACTGTGGGACGTTTAAAGGTTCTTTTCTTAAACATGTGTTGTGCCAATTCCTCTTAAATCCACTTTTCCTCAGGAACATTTTGAAGTCTTTTACTCATTTCTACCCGGCTGATGTCCCATTCCCCAGTGGTTTTGTTGTGTTGTCAGTGTCTGCTCCTTGAAGACTGCAGTCTCTGTGTGTGTGTCACGGCTACAAAGTGGTCAAAGTAAATGACAAAAGCACCGAGCTCAAAAGAAACACGATGAAGAAGGGATCCAATAATCCACTCCTCTTCTCCAGCCGCGATGAAGTCAGGACAGTTCATCTGAGGCACTGTCCTGACTGTCCCTACTTTCCTCCTGCCTGACTATCAGGCAGGAGGTGATGCTGAGAGCAGATGATGAGAGGGGAGAGAGGAGAGGAGGGAGAGAGGCAAGGAGAGAGAGGAGAGGAGAGAGAGAGAACAGGAGAGAGAGAGAGAGAGGCAAGAAGAGGAGAAAAAAGGGGAGAAGGTAGTGGAGAGAGAGAGAAAGACAAGGAGAGGACAGAAAAGGAGAGGAGGTAGAGGGGAGAGAGAGGCAAGGAGAGGGGAGAAAAGGAGAGGAGGAAGAGGAGAGGAGAGGCAAGGAGAGGATAGAGAGAGGAGAAGAGAGAGGAAAGAAAGAGAGGCAAGGAGAGGAGAGGAGGTAGAGGAGAGGAAGGAGGGGAGAGAGAGGGGAGAGAATGAGAGAGGAGTAGATGAAAGAGAGAGGAAGGAGGGTTGAGGAGAGATGATTGAGACTGGGGAGTGAGGGAAGAGAGGAGAGAGAGGAGTAGAGAAAGAAGAGAGGACAGGAGTGAAGGGAGAAAGGAGAGGAGAGTGAGGGGAGAAGAGAGGAAAGAGGTTGTTTTTTTTTTTTTTGAACAGACCTTTATTTGTCCATGAAAACTGGTCAATCATTTCACATTACATCTTGAGAGGAGAAGAGTGAGGGGAGAGGAGAGGAGAGAGGATCATTAGAGGAGATGACGTGGAGTGAGGAGAGAGTAGTGAGAGCAGAAGACGAGAAAGATAATGATACACATTTCGGTTTGGGATGATTTAAAGGGGCTGTATCTTCTTTCCGTGAGTATCCCTGCTTTGACTGGAAGGGTCCGTCATTCAATCATAGATGTTTAATTGCAAAAGTACTGTGACATAGTCTGATCTCACTGTGATCTCTCTGCGTTCACACAGAGCGGCTGGTAGTCCTGGAATTTCCGGCTATTTTCTCTTGTGCTCCGTAAACGTATCAGTCTTAGCACAGGCTAAAGTCGCTCGCCATGTCTCTCTCTGCAGGTCCTGAAGGGCTGCAAGAAGCTGTCCCTGTCCGTCTGCTCCATGGGCCGGATTCCTGGAGGATACATCACCAACCACGTGTACAGCTGGGTGGACCCCCGGGGGCGCAGCGTGTCCCCCCCACCGGATGAGCAGGGCCATAAGCAGGCCCACACCGCCAACGAGCGCACGGTAAGAGCCTGGGACTTTGGCTGATACTGAAGGTTGGGTAGGCAGTGGTGGGGGGGGGGGGTCTGCTGAAGACATATATTAGATAGATACTTTATTGATCCACCGTAGGAGAAATGCATGTCCAACAATAGTATTTATAATGATAGTAAATTTAAAGTCCTAAGTAGCTCTGAAACAGTTTTTTTTTTGTGTTTTACAACTGTTATTTTTCTGCTTTTTTCTGCCTGAGATGTTGCTGCAGTACAGTGTTCATGGTTTTACACTGGTCCGGACCAGAGCAGAGAGGATTCATGGTCTGACCAAACGGATCAGGCAAAAATCCACTGGAGGAAGGCTAACTTTTTGAGAAATACTAATTCAGCACTTAGCATTTTACTTTGGACCAGATCAGAGAAAATGGTTCGAACCAAGCGGGGTAGGGGATGTGTTTGTGGCATAAGTTCCTGCTCTCAGCGTAGTTGGAGCTAAAAGCAACTCCAGATCTGTTATAAAATAAGGAACAATGTCGTAGCATAGGGGAAAAAACAAAAGTCTTATGAATCTAACTACGCTGTTGTAAAGGTTAGCACTCTTGTTTCTCAGCAAGAGGGTCCTGGGTTCGAATCCCAGTCGGTACAGGTCTTATCTGTGAGGAATTTGCATGTTCTTCCTGTGTCTGCATAGGTTGCATAGGCAATGAAGGATGGGTCAAAAGCAGAGGACACACTTCCTTTTAGGGACAAAAGTGAACATCTCTGTCTATAGTGTGTGGATTTGTCATTGTGTGCTAGGTTTGAAAGCAGAGCATAGAGACAGAAGGGGCGGGGGACAGATGTGCTTTTAGTGACGCAGACAGTCTTTTACACAAATGGTTTGACAGATAGAAAAAAGACTGTGACCTTTAGTGAAGTGCTCTGGGGTTATTGCTGCTCTGGAAATAGCACCTTCCCTGCATCTTTTGCTTATGATATTTTCAATCCACTTCATTTATATACCACATTTCATAACACAGTTTCCAAAGTGCTGCACAATAAAAGATGAATTAAAACAAATCCATGGTAACATAGTCAAATCATTCAATACTTAAAATTGACCCTCCTCGGGCAGTTATCCCTCTCTAAGCTCGGGTCCTCTACCAGAGGCCTGGGAGCTTGAGGGTTCTGCGCAGTATCTTTGCTGTTCCTAGCACTGCACATTTCTGGACCGAGATGTCCGAGGTTGTTACGGGGATCCGCTGTAACCACTCTTCTAGCTTCGGGGTCACTGCCCCGAGTGCACCGATCACCACGGGCACTACTGTCACCTTAACCCTCCAGGCCCTCTCCAGCTCCTCTCTGAGACCTTGGTATTTCTCAAGCTTTTGAGCCAGAGAGAGACCAGCGATACTGGCAGAAATCTTCTGCATATATGCTGAAGATTTTGAAGGCTTCTGCTAGGGATCCTGACCCTGACGAGGAGGGCATTACAATAGTCCAGCCTGGAGGAGACACAGGCGTGGGGCGGAGTTTGGCCGTTTTGGATGTGTGGATGAAAAGTGAGTTACACCAAGGTTTGTAACACAGGAGGAAGGGGTGATGGTATGGCCAGGGAAAAGAATGGAGTTGATGGGGGGGGTCTCCTCAAGGCAGGAGGTGAGTGCAGCAGGGGTGAACGAGGGAGAGGTCGGGTCCAGTCTCACATAGAGCTGAGTGTCATCGGCAGTAATGGCTCCTATGTCTTTACCCTGTTTGATTCTCTGATTTGTTGTTGGTGAATCCACAATGTAAAGTCGTGTAAAGAGACGACTGTTGTGATTTAGGGAAATACACAAATAGATGACGACAGCATGGAAGTAATGCTCATTCCTATCATCTCTTGAATCTAAAATATAAATGGATTTTACTTAAAGACCAAAATGAACTTGTTTTTCTGGGTGTCTCACAATAGGAGGGGATTGGGCAGAGAATAGAACAGTGTGTACGTTCTATCTCTCAATGAAAGTTCAAAATCAATGATAAAAGCCACATAAACATTTATAATTTCACTTTATGGGGAAAGCATTGAGGCTTTACAGCGTTGCCGCATCCTCGGGTACAAAAACGTATCTTCTCTTTATTATGAATGGGATCAGAGCTGGCCGGGCGCGGACCACATCGATTCTCATTTAGTCTTAAGACCCACTGCGGAGGAGATCAATGTGGAGCAGAGGACGGGCCCCGGGAGAGTGGGTCGATTTCCCGGTGGCATCACACACACATCCATAAACACACACACACACACACACACACACGGTGCTTAAGGCTGCTCTCTATAAGCAGTTGCAGCTATAGAGCCACTCACCGAGCTTCTCTAATGGTAATGCACTGAAGAGCTGTACATCGGGCTCCAGGTGACGGAGACGAGAGTCGTGGATATGTACAATAATAACTAACATATAATATGCAGCAGTTACATTAGTGTTAGAATAAATACATGAATCTTCATTTTTGTTGCTTATTGTGTAGATTACAGTAATTGTACTGTGGGAGATTTGTAGAGTTTGTAGAGAAACATTCAAGGGAAAATGTTTTTATTATTTGTATATCTCCACCAGAAGAAGCAAACTGTTTGTACAATATCTGTGGTGTACAACCATCATGGAATCTGACACAAATATAATTGTTTTGGTCACTTCAGCAGTCAGAAGTAACAAAGAAGCACTTTATGGATCTGTTCCGCCTGCTCCAGTCCTCCGGGTTGTCTGTTTTTATCTCTGGCCCAATTCCGACTGTAAACCGGGGTGACTGCTTGTACAGCCGTGTTGTGGCGCTAAACATGTGGCTCCAGACTGCATGTAGAACTTTTAACTTTGTTTTTGTGAACAACTTTGGCCTGTTCTGGAAACGGCATGTGGCATATCGTCCAGATGGTCTCCACCCGAACAGATACGGCACCAGTTTGTTTATGGACTATTTACGCCATGTTATTCAGTGCTCCCAGAGGGGGGCGTGACTGTTTACATCGCAGCCCCCTCGGCCCCCACCACCACCACCACCACCCTCCGCCTCCTCCTCCTCCACACCAGCACCGGGTGAGTACTGTGGTGCAAACACTGACCCCTCTCCGTCTGGCAGTGTAATGACAGTCCTGCCACTAAACTGTGATGAATCCTGCTCTGAGAAACAGAGCAATGCCATGCTGAATTTGGGACTGACACAGCAAAGGTTTTCACATTTTAAATCAATTGAAACTGTGTGCGTTTCTCGCACCAGTTCAAAAATATGTTTTAATTCTAATCACATCAGAAGGAAAGGAGCTAGGCGGTCCATCCCTGCTAATCTAATTCCTATTCCTTGCAGTAATCAATCAACCACACCCACTGATACTGATATTAATTTTAACCTTGCTTTGCTTAATGTCAGATCACTATGCAACAAATCATTTTTAATTAATAACTTTATCTGTTCTTATGATCTTGATTTTATGTTTATGACCGAAACATGGCTTGACCAAACTACAGGAAACACGGTTTTAATAGAAGCAACGCCACCAAATTTCAAATTTGAGTCTGAAATGCGAGAAAACAAAAGGGGGGGAGGCATAGCTGCAGTTTTTAGAAATCACATTGTCTCCCATAAAGTGCCCTTGGGAAAATTTTCATCATTTGAATATGTGTCTTTTAAAATTGAACAAAAGCAATCTTCTTCTATTCTTATCATTGTCCTATACAAGCCACCGCAGTCATGTCATACTTTTATTGATCTTTTACCGAGTTGCTTTCAGTTGTATGCACAGATTTTGATGGTTTAGTTATTACAGGCGATTTTAATATTCATGTGGATAATGTTAATGACAGATACGCAAAAGAGCTGAGTTCCATACTTGAATCCTTTGGCCTCACTCAGCATGTGAGTGGCCCCACCCATAGCAGAGGACACACCCTGGACCTGCTTATCACGAAAGGGGTGAATATTTCAAAAGTTAATGTAGTTGATGTTGCTCTGTCGGATCATTTCTGTGTATTTTTTAACATGTGTTTTGCTACCAGACCACCCGCTAAATATGAAATTGTTAGAAGTAGACACTTAAATGAAAACACGGGTGAACTATTTATGGGAATGATCCATTTTGAGAACACATCATGTTCTACTGTAGATGAACTGTTTAACTCTGTCACCTCTAGTGTGTTGAATGTTCTGGACGCCATTGCCCCTGTGAAGGTAAAAATGGTCACAAATAAGCAAAAAGCCCCATGGATAAAAGCAGGCCCGGTCAGGGCACAGAAGCAAGAGTGCCGGAGAGCAGAGAGAAAGTGGAGAAAGTCCAACCTCCAGGGTGATTATAAACTCTTAAAAGAGAAGTTGTGTGAGTTTAACAGAGTACTACGTAGAACAAGAGAATTATACTTTTCTGAAACTATTGAAGGCTGCAGCAACAATCTGCGTGTTCTATTTTCAACAATCAATAGATTAACGAACCCCCCTGTTGAGTTGCCATTAGAACACTACTCCAAATCCAGGTGTAATGAGTTTGCACAGTTCTTCAGAGACCACGTTCAGGGTATCAGAAATGCCATCACCTCCACAACACAAGTAACAATGCAACATCCAGTGAGGCTTTGTGAGCTAGCTCAATTTGCACCTGTCAATGATGAAACTGTTAAAAAGATAATCACAGGTCTTAGTTCCTCTACCTGCAGTCTGGATGTACTACCTCCTAGATTTCTGAAGTCTGTTATGTGTAGTCTATTACCCTCATTGACACAAATAGTAAACATGTCTTTTTTATCTGGAACATTTCCAATGGCCCTGAAAAAGGCAGTCATCAGGCCCCTCCTAAAAAAGAGCAGTTTGGATGCTGCGGTACTTGAAAATTACCGTCCCATCTCAAATCTGCCTTTCATGGGAAAAATTCTTGAAAAAGTTGCCTACCAACAACTTACTGAATTTTTAATATCTAATGACTCATTTGACATGTTCCAGTCTGGCTTTAGACCACACCACAGTACTGAGACCGCTCTAGTCAAGGTAACAAATGATATTCGGCTTAACACTGATGCAGGA